GAAATTGGTGAGCTATCATATGGAGAGCTATGAAATTGGAGAGAGCTCTAAACGTAATAATAAAATAATAGTGAGCTAAGAAATTGATGAGTTATCATATGTGGCTCTAGCTTCGACACTTAGCAAAATTCATGAGAAAATTAAAATATTGGAGAGTTGTAAAATTGAAAGTCTAGGGTAATGAAGGCATATTAAGAGTTAGCATCACATGAGAATAATGTAGTTGGAGCTATACATTGATGAGCCCAGATTTAGTCCGGTTTGGTGGTTTAATGCGGCTATTCCCATTATAATACGATATGTATTGGTGGATAGTTGGGTGGGACATAACCTAGTCTGTCTAAGAAATTCGCAGATTAGCGGTTGGACAGGAAACCGTAGTCCGGTTTCTATTATGGATTGAAGGGCGTAAAAAGGCCGTACAGAATACTCCGGCCTAGAGGGCAAGGTTACTCCGGCCTTGGGGAGACAAAGTTACTTCGGCCCAAGGAGGTGAGTTTATTCCGGCTCACGAAGAGATAGTTGCTTCGGCCCAAGGAAGAGTAAGGCTACTCCGGTCCAGAGACAACTCGGAATAGGGCCGGTCTTAGAGTTAGTCCGGTCGCAGTATGTTCTAGGAAGACCGGTTTCAGAATTAGTCCGGTCGTGACAATCTGGTTAGGTCGGTCAAAACTTGTTACTTGGAGGTTTGATCTAAGCACACCAAGGTTGAACAGGGGCAGCCGAAGTAATGAGTTAAAGGAGAAGACCGAGCTAAGGATAGTTCGGCCTTCTCTGTGGCTCAGCATAGCCAGTGTTATTTCGGCCGTGTGGTAGTTCGGCTATGGAGAAAACCATCCCACTTGGTTTAAGCAGTGGGGGAGGGTGTGAAAGGATAAGCATTATCCTTAAGAGTATGAATCCTAGGAGGACTCTACATGGAGAAATACAAGTCCTACTGGGATTGTGCCATTTGAAACTTATAAAAGCTCACAAGCATCACCTTGGAAGAGGTAATTGAACACAATCTTTCTGAAAACTTAGAGCTTTGTCTATTTGTCAAGTTATCTGACTTAGGCATCGGAGAGGTTTCCGGCACACACCCGCCGGCTAGCTCACGTTTGTGTTTTCAGGTGACAAAGCGACGTCGTACGGAGAAGCGTGGACTTGGTCAACAGGATTATACGAGGAGAATTATTTCCTCCCCGTACAGATTATATGAAAAACATCTGTGTGATGGTTGCAAAATAAAGTGGGGGTAAAAGATATATTATGGGAGAGTGGGTATTTAAAAAAGAGGAAAAGTGATTTAGAAAAAATAAATAAAAATAATTGATTTTGAAATCAAACGGAGGAGAGAGAGAGTTTTTTTTTTTTTTTAATTTTTAATGGAAAAGGGAAGATAAAATAAAATAAATAAAGGTAAAGTGGGGTGCAAAAGGTGAAGGAAAGGTGTTCTGGGCGGTGGTGTAATGTTCAAAAAGAAAAGATAAAAAATAAAAGAACAATTTAAAAAACCAGTGATGGTGTGTGATGGATTTGGAAGAATTAATTAGAGAGTGAGTTGAAGATGCAGCGGAGTGAAGGTATGTGTAGAAAACTCCAGCGGACTAGGTTGAGGTCCGGCGGGCGGCTAAGGTGAGGTTGCCACCCGCCGGGGAAGCGAAAATACTAGGTTCTAAACCTACTCTGATACCATGTAAGATTTAATGTATAACATGTATAGATAAAAGGAAAGAATAAATTGTGCATTGAATATGTATTGAATGTTGTATTGAGTGTTCTTACAAGGGGAATGCACTCTCTTTTATAGAGAGAATTTGAGCATTGGATGCCCACTGACAGTGTGATGCATTGTACATTATAAAATATAAAGCTAAAGCTATACACTAACATGATATAAAGCTAAAGCTATGCACTAACAGACGTAATCATACACTAGCATGCTAAAGCTAATCATACACTAACAGGTATTATTAAAGCCCCTGTTTGTTTGCAGAGAAAGCCTTGGGACTATTAGTCCCTTAGTATTGTTAATACCCTTAGAAGGGGGATTGGTAAGGAGGAGGTAGAGATGGTATTAGAAAATAGTGAGGGGATTAGAAATTTTTTTATTTTTTATATATTGGGAATTTTTTTTAAATATAATGTTTAATTTTTTATATTTTTTTATTTGTTTTATTATTTTATATAAAAATAATTTAACAATTTCTCATTATTAATTCCCTCACTATCAATCCCCTCACTAAGAATCCCCTCACTATTAATTCTCTCATTATCAATCCCCTCCATTCTATCTCCCAAAACAAATGGGGCCTTAAGCTATAACATAACTCATATTAACTTTAATACCTTATCCTTTCTCTCAACTTTCGCTATTTTTTCCTTTCTCTCTTATTCCTTCCTTCCTTTCTTTTTTTTCCTTTCTCTCTTCTTTCTTTATTTTCCTTCCTTCTTTTTCCTTTCCTTTCCAGTGAACGTCTCCTCCCTAGGAGGGAGCATACGTGTCACATTCGATAATAATTATAAAAATTTATAATTATCTTTAATAGATATTTAAAATAATTATATTTTAATCCTCCTTTTATAGTAAGGGGTAATATTTACTTAGCAAGTTTTGGGTGCCACGTTGTCACACCACGTGGCCTCTCTAAGTAGCTCCCATTATCATACTATAGATTTAAATTTTATCTCTTAGAATGGATCATGCTATAGATTAGTTGCTTATTTATTCTTTCACCTCTAAATTTCTTACTAATTTAATTATATTGTTACAAAATAAATCATATGTTGTCCTAATTGTGATTAAATAATATTAGTATAAATTCTACAGAATAATTAAAAATCTAGATTGTTACAATTTGAATTTAAAATATAACAAAAAAATTATTATTATTTTTTAAAAATAAATAATCAATTAGTGCTTTAAAATGACTTTTCATTGTATATTTGATTGGAATTATTATTTTTACATATTTTTGATTTAAATGTCTAAATAATTTGTCTTTTTGTTTAAAAAAATAATTTCTATACTTTAAAAAATATAATTTTTTTTTTCAATAACAACCATTTACACAAAAAAAAAAAAACATTGTTCCGATCAACTAGCCAAACGTCCGAGGGATATCTGGGAGGATGATCAGGTAGACCAAAATCGCTCTTTTTAAAATTCAAAAACTCACTTTGTTGCCAAACAAGTTTTCAAATGAGGTTTAAAATATGGCCTGAAATCAATTTTGAAAGGGCAAATTACATACACCTCCCTCGACATTTAGCTAAATTACAGATACTTTTCTGAGGTTTCGGAAATTACAGATACCTCCCTAAGATTTATATTTTCATAACAAATTGTCCTATGACTTTTATATTTTCATAACAATTTGTCCCCTAATTTGTTATGTAAATAGTACCTTCAGGGGTATCTGTAATTTCTCAAACCTTAAGGGTATCTGTAATTTTACTAAATCTCGAAGGGTATATATAATTTGCCCATTTAAAAAAATTTAAACCAAACATAATATATTGAACATAACTCTAGAATTAGGATTCTAATGTTACACTAAACACAGCCTAAGATTTTAACGCAAGAAAATAAGGCCTCGTTTGGGAACAGGCTAATTTAGTAACTTTTTGGCTATTTGGTTAAAAAAGTAGTACAAAAAACTTATATGCTTGGGATGACTTTTTGGCTAATTACGAAAAGATGTGCAAAAAGTAGAGAGAAAAGAGAATTTTTGACTTTTTAATATGAGTTATTGACTTTTTAACTAAAAAAAGTAACTTTTTGACTAAAAAAATAAGTCCCCAAACGGGCCTGGTGACAAGTTTTGCTTTGAAGTCCGTTAAAAAAAAAAAAGTTTTGCTTTGAAGTGGACAAAAGGTGCACCATAGGGTTACGCTTGCAAACGCGAGAGCTCATGAACAACAAGGGTTCGGTCGGCCGCAAACTCAAATAGGCTCGAGCCCTTCTTGGTTTCACTCGAGAAGAGAATTCAAAAAGGGCAAAATCGAGCCGTAAATTAGGTTTCACTGGAGAGTAGCGAACGGCGAGAGAGAGAGAGAGAGACAGACCTGAAGATCCATCAAGCTCACGCTTCATTCAAATCTAGATTTTAAATTACTTCGAAGGTAAAACCCTAGCCGATCTCTTTCATTGGATTCTTTAACATCAAATCTTCAATCTTGTATCTGCACATTTGTATATCATCGTTTTCATGGTTTATCTTTGCAGGGAGTGGAAGATAGGAAGAACCCTAGCTCGACGACGACACAGTGCCTTCGAGGTTCAAGAAAAGTCCAATTAGCTTGTGGCTCTCGCTGTCTCGCACTCACAGCTCCGGTGTGTTGTTCTCGCTCTTGATTCTCTTCTCTCTCTTCTCTCTCTCTGTCTCTCTGTTAGGGTTTTGATTTCGAGGGTTGTATCTTAATCTCTGCCAGTTTAATAAGACCCATGTTTTAGTTCGTTGGAATCTTAGATAAATTTACTTCGTGTTTATTTTTTTCAACATTTATTTATGGGAAGAAAAAAAAAAATGAAAACTGCGATAACCCTCCCGAAGATGTGGTTGGATTTGAGCTGCCCATTGAGCCATTTTGGGTGGAGGTGGAGTTGGGGGTGGGGAAGAGAGTGAGGGATGCTTGGACATCATAAATGAAACTTATTGAATTGGGTTCGTGTGCGTTTTCGACATCTCGCTAGCATTCATCCCACCCCATGTTTATGCTTGGAGTCAATTTTAGGGCTTTAAGGAGTTATATCAGTTTTTTATATATATTTTTTGCTATTTTAGGCAATGACTCCAATGTTAATGTCTTTTCTAGCTATGTGTTATATACATTCTGGAAGGACAAACTCGTGCACATCTTGATTGGAGTTCATCACCCATCGTAGCGCTATTGTAGTATTTCTCAGTTGTAGGACTTTGTCACAGATGTAAGTTTGTTTTTAGGCTGGCTGTTACTTGCTGAGTTGGCCCGTCATCTGATCTTCAAGATCCACATTTTGGTTTGGCTTCTTCCTCATAATTACGACTGACTACCGTTTGTTCGTTAGTTAAGGTAATAAATGTATTCCGAGGATGATTGACTGTGAGCTATTTAAAGAAATGTTTTAGACTACTTTGCTTTTCTGTCTTTGAAGGTATTTTACTAGTTATAATTCCTGTATGTCTTGCTTAAAACTCTCCTCCTGATTGGCCTGCTTCATTATTCTACCTTCGTGGGCTCATGTTATTTTTTCTTTATGGTATACTTTTAGCCTATGTTATATGGACTCTTCAAAATAAATCAAATACCCGTGTCGGACACTCGACACTCGGACAAGGGTATGGGATATGTGTTGGATACTTTTCAACGGATACTTTTTATATAATTGTAGATAACACTATTATTATACGTACATATTGTTGTATAATTGTTATAAATGTTATTTTGACACTATAAGTTAAATATAGTACCATTTTATCTCACATATTAGATTAAAAATATAAAAATATGACATTTTTTTGCCGAGTCCGCGTATCTTTAAATTTATGATTTGATGAGTCCGACCTCTAAATACATATCCGCACCCGACACCTGTACCCGAGTCCATGTAACATAGCTTTTAGCCCTTGTCTAGACACCTTTTTGCTTTCCTTACCAAGGGTAAAAAAAGTTGACTAGACCCAGTCTCTTGAAATGGAGGACATACATTTTAATTTTAAAATTGTCTTCCTTTGGGTCAGCATCTTACTTGGGAAATCAATTTCTTTGTAATGTGTGTTGGAATGTACATAAAATGACAAATAAGACCTGTCTTATTGCTCAATGTTTGCTGGTGCAGAAATATAATACTATATTGCTTGACTTGTAGCGATTGAGTTACCTTGTCTAAGATTACAAGTGTTCTCCTGGCAATCAGATAGACAAGACATTCGGGTCTTATTCTTTGTATTTTTTTGTTATGCTCTGATTGATTAATTTTTGTGGATTGTCTTATTTACTGTGCAATGTCATGTTGAGTTGAAAGTGGATTGTCAGTCAGGAGTTATTAGGCTCATATTTTTGCATATGGACCTAAAAAGGAGAAAAAATGATATTATTGCCAGCTTGATTACCTAATCACAAACTTTATATGAATTTTCTTCCATTCACTAAAAGTTTAGAATGCTGAGGGATGTATTGCATGTTTTCCAGGGGTCATTTTTCTTCCATGCAATGAAAGAAATCTGAGTAAGGTAAATGCATAAATATATGGCAATCTTAGATCATCTCATGACACGAATGCTTTCTTTATGATAGATGCCAAGCGCTTGGACAAATATGAGCTTTGGAATCATACATAGGGATGTAGATGGGGAGTGGGAGAAATCAGGGTGGAGTTGTGGGTATTTGTTTATAATTGGAGATTGTTGCTCACTCTCAGAAGATCTATTCATCTGCAAAACTTTTAGAGAGGATGACGAGACCAAATTTTATTTCAAATAAATAATAGCTCTGGAGCATCTTGGAGCATATGAGCAATGGAGCTTGTGGAGCACTGCTCACCTCGAGGATTGCTCTCTTGGTTTGCTTCATAGTGATGGTTTTGCTTTATTTCTGTTATTATCAAATTGAGTACATAGCTATCTAGAATGAATATCACAATATATTGAGAAACTTAAAAAAAGTTAATTGTTAGATTTTGCACCAGTTACAATGTTTCCCCTCTTGGTGCAGTGGAACGTGTTCATTGAGTAGTCTCTCCAGCATTGAAAATGAGTGGTCGTTTTTCTCGAACAATTTACGTCGGTAACCTGCCTGCAGATATAAGGGAGTGGGAAGTTGAAGATCTATTCTACAAGGTTTGAGGTTTTTATTTTTTATTTATTTTTTATTGTATCTATTTTTGTTACATAAGCTTCATCATTTTTTTGTTGAATGATTGGTCAGTTTAATCTTGCCTTTGTGATATTGAATGAACCTCTTAATTGACTATTATATTTCCCCTGAAGTATTGTATGTTATCTGCATTAATGCCTCTTTATAATTTTTTTTCTTGGTGAAGTTGTGGTTAGGAAATTATGTCATTTTCTGTTTGCCTAGGCACTTCAGTTAACTACCACCAATAGCCATTACTACTTGACTATAGCCAGTTTAGTAAAAATGATTTCAGTCTGTCATTGTGTAGCTTCTTCAACCCTGGCAGAGCTACTCGAAGATGGAACTGCCATATTGTGCAACTCCTTCATCTTGATAGTTGAGTAACTCCAAATTAAAAAGAACAAAGAAAAATGATTCTAGGAAAATTAAAGGAATGAGGGGATGATTGTATTGAATTCTATGTTACACGGACTCGGGTACGGGTATCGGGTGCGGGTGCGTATCTAGGGATCGGACACTTCAAAATTAAAAATTAAGGATACGTAGATATGTATCTAAATTTAGATATGGGTACGGGGATACGTTAAATAGTTTTTAAAAAATATATATATTTATTATATGAAGATGAGTTATATTATATAAATAACAAATAAAAATCTATGAAGATGATGTATATTATATATATATATTATAAATATTTTTATTTTAATATACATTAATTATTTAATTAATTTATTATATTTTTTAAACAATGTGTTCTAATTAATTTTTTTTATTTTATTTTACGTACATATATTTATTTATTTTTTATTAATATATATAAGTATATATTATCTTATAAATATATTATATGTTATATAATAATTATTATATAATATATAATAATAATAGTTATTATTATAGTTATTAACTACTACTACTACTATTATTATTATATATTATTATAGTTATTATTATAATAATAGGTAGATATACGAATAGAAGACAAAGATATGATCGAGAGAGAGATTGAGAACAGTACGGGAGGGAAAGACAGATCGAGAGAGAGAGAGAGAAGAGGAGATCGGGAGAAGAGGAGAGATCGAGAGAAGAGGAGATCGAGAGACGAAAGAACAGGAGAGATCGAGAGAAGAGGAGATCGAGAGACGAAAGATCAGGAGACGAGATCAAGAGTGAAGGATCGATTGGGGTGAGATCGAAGCCTGCGACTAGAGAGAAGTCGGCGACCAGGTTCTTGCTCTCTCCTCTTTCCTTTCTTCTGTATTTAGGGCTATTTCGTTGCTTCTGTATTTAGGGCAAAACATAACCGTATCCATTTGTGATGAGCCGTATCCCGGCCGTATCCCGCACCCGTACCCGTGTCGTGTCGTGTCGACACGGGTACCTCCGAAATTTCAAAGAGTCCGTATAACATAGATTGAATTAGAAAATTAGATGTGAATAATGAGAGGGGCAAAAGTTGAATAGTTAGGAAAGAATTTCTGGAATGCATTAGCCATCTCTGAGGACTTTGCATGACACATTCCCAAGATGCCACAAGGCCTTAGCCTCTGTAGAAGCTTTTGAAAATTACTTTGTTTATGATATGTAAAGTATATCCATTAAAAAGATGCCGCAAGGTCCTTAGACTTTGTACACTATTAGCAGGAGTCTTTTGATACCATATAGACTCATCTTCATGAAAGTCGAAGAGCTACATGGAAACCATATTGTGGACCTCATATTGTGGGCAATACTTGAAGATGCCTGTAATAATAATATGGAATCCATGATCAGTACTATAGTCCATGTTTGGAAAATCTTGAATTGGAAAAAAAGAGAATATCAAATAGAATTATGACATAGAATATAAAATAAACCAAATCAATGACTTTCTAACTTGTTGGGGACATAAAATATGACTAGACCTGAATTGAAACTCGGTTTTAAGAGGTCCCCAGTGCCTCACTTTAATATCAAATAGATTTTTAGAATTCCTCTCTTCTTTAAGGTTTTGCTCTTTCTTGGGCCTCTTACCTAATGCATCAGAATATTCATGGTTATTTATTTAATAATGATGGATGAGAAAACGTAGACTGTCTGCTTAATGACCATCGTGTTGATGATGATAAATTTTAACTCGATGCCCCCCAAACCGTCCAATTGAGTTTAATAGCAAGCTTTCGGTGAAATAGATAATAAAGAGTTTTATTAGATTGCTTCATGGGTAACGAGAGTATTTGGGACTATGCCCCGATTATTCTCTAGGTACAAGTAGTCCACCTGTCCCACACATACCAGGTAATTATTGGGCATAGGACATAGTGATGGTCCCAAGGTGGTCAAATGCTTCATGGGATTCAAACTCTTGACCCGTACTTTATAAGATGCTCGTCATAATGACTTAACTTGCCACGTACCTTAAGGTTTAGTTTAAGTAGAATTGATAATACTAGATTGCAACATTGTATTGTTGGCAAAACAAATTCTAAGAGCCGTTAATGTTGAAAGCGTGAATATCTATCAGCATGTTTGAGATATTTACTTATTCTTTTGTTCTTGCAGTATGGCCGTATATTGGATATTGAATTGAAGATTCCTCCGAGGCCTCCTTGTTATTGTTTTGTTGAGGTACCTCTTTTGACTTCAGGTTTTTCTTAAAAACATGAACTTATTTTTAGTGATTTTGAATGTATTGAATTTGTTTAATTTGTAGTTTGAAAATGCTCGGGATGCGGAAGATGCAATTAGAGGTCGAGATGGTTATAACTTTGATGGTTGTCGTTTAAGGGTAATAAAAATTTCAAATGCTTTCGCTTGCATTCCATATTGTTGTGCTTTTATGTTTGTCTTCTCAAATGTCTTCTAATGTAGGTTGAGCTTGCACATGGTGGTAGAGGGCCATCATCTTCAAGTGATCGTCGTGGTGGCTATGGTAGTGGCGGCGGCGGTCGCGATAGCGGTGGTGGCAGTGGTGGTGGTGCTGGACGTTATGGCATTTCACGTCATTCTGAATACCGAGGTACAACTAACGCTAATATCTTTGGCTATATACATGAATGCTCTTTGTTATCATCTTTACACCTTTGGTTCTAGGCCTATTTTAATCATCCTCAGACAATTCTGACTACACATAATTTGGTGTACAGTTATTGTTCGTGGGCTTCCATCATCTGCTTCATGGCAAGACTTGAAGGTAAGTATGGTTATTATATGTGCAAAACATTTGTAATGTTCCCCCATCCCCGTTCTCTCCCTATGCTGCCATAGTAGTAATCTTGTTGGGATGATGATTTAGGATCATATGCGAAAAGCTGGTGATGTGTGCTTTGCTGAAGTTTCCCGAGACAGTGAGGGTATGACTTGTACCTTTTTTTCTTCCCTACCTTTTTACCTTAACACGTCATTCTTATCTTCTTTCAAATCTCAATGAGAGCATTCTGTGTTTGACTCTATCTATGGAAAGATAAAGGTCCATTTTATTTTCGATAATTTGGTTTACCCAAGTGTATAAGGTCACATATTGATGTAGTTACACTATGGAGACAAAAAAATTATTTTTCCAATGCTTTTGTGAAAGATTGCTAATGATTGATGCTTAAGAAGTACAAACATTTCTAAGAAGGTGTATGTTTGTGTAGTGTCTGTGTTTGACATTGACTGACACTTGTCGGACACTTATCTAAATGTGTTGTATCATTGTCTTTAGACCCAGACGCACTTCAAACACATGGGGGATACATATGTCCATTGCTTAGATACATTTGCAACACATTATAAGTTTGAACTCAATAACTTAGACAATGATAAAAGAAAAATAATATAGATTTATATCTATTAATAACTCAATTTGATACGAGTTTCAACCAAAATGACTCGATTCGTTTTATTGAATCTTAAATTGAGTGAATTGTACTCACTACTATTCGTTGTGATTAAGGCCTCGTTTGGCAAGTGGCTTTTTTAGCAAAAAAGTCAAAAAGTTACTAAAAAGGCCAAAAAGCCAACTACCTATACCAAAAAGTCAAAGATTTTTTTTTTCTTTTTACTTTTTGCACATCTTTTCGTAAAAAGTCAAAAAGTCATCCCAAACATACTAGTTATTAAAGTTATTAATATGATGCATTGTGCAAACGTACTAGCCAAAAAGTTATTAAAAAAGCATGTTCCCAAACGAGTATCCATGTTCCCAAAAAGCATGTTCGCAAATTGAGATTTAGGCCTCGTTTGGGAACAGACTAATTTAGTAACTTTTTGGCTATTTGACTAAAATATGAGCTAAAAAAAACTAGTATGTTTGGGAGGACTTTTTGGCTTTTTACGAAAAGATGTGCAAAAAGTAGAGAGAAAAGAGAATCTGTGACTTTTTTGTATGGGTTGTTGGCATTTTGGCTAAACCGGCTAGTCCCCAAATGAGGCTTAAGTTTTGTTTGCATAATGCATAAAATGACAATGTGTTCACAAAATAAAAAAAAATAGATCAATTAATTATATTGATGTACATGATGTTATACCAAGGATCTACCTTAAGTGTTTATCTTTTTGTTTTAGTTATGGATGAGTTGACGAGAAATATTCAAGATGACGTGCCATGGTGTATGCTTTATGCAGACGATATCGTGCTAGTGGATGGGACTGGAGGAGTTAACACAAAGTTGGAGATTTGGAGAAAAATTCTTGAATCTAAAGGATTTTGGATAAGCAAAATTAAAACAAACATGGAGTGTGAGAGGGTGATTTATGATCTGGAATTGGGCCGAGGTAACAGCCGAGCAGGTTGGGAGCCCAGTGGTGCATGTGGCCGAGATGATCGACTGTCCGCCCGGAGACGGGCTGCCAGAACTTGGGTCGGGCAGAAATTGGGCCAAGTGTGTGCTGCCCTAGACCGTAAAGAAGCTGCTCGGCAAGGCAGTGCTCGGTTGGACTGAGCTGCTTGATCAGGGGATGGTGGAAGCCAGACAAGCTGAGTGACCGGCGCCCGGAAAGGCGTGGTTAGCCGAGGTAACCGTTTGATCGGCAGGAAGGCCGACCATAGGAGGTGCCCCGGGCTCGGCTTTGCCGAGATGCCGCCTAGCCCGGTCCTCCCTGGGCTTAGCCAGTGAAGTGCTTGGGTATGAAGCACAGCACGACCGTGGATAGAGAAGCTCGGCTGCCGAGCTCCAACTGAGAGGGCAGGCAGTTGGGATTAGGTGATGTTCAGTAAGGTTTATGCTGATAGATGGGATAGTAGAGCCACGTGTCGGGAGATGACTGGGAGTGGATATGAGGCGCAGAGGGTATATCATCATGCCTGCGCCCCCCATACTGGACAGACGAACACTTTGTAAGAAAACTCCTATACTCTAACATTCCTCTCTCTCTCTCTCTCTCTATCCTAAGGTGTGTGCTAACTTGATCGTCGGAGAGTTTTTCCGACCACACACCGCCGGGCAGCTCACCGTTATTCGCTCGCAGGTGATCGGACATTAACGGAGCTTGGAAGAAAGGAGTACGGGCTTGCCAGAATATTTGCTCCCCGTACAGAGTGTATATTTAGTAATAGTAACAATGAAACAGAGGAGAAGTGAATATTGAGAATTAAGAACTGTTTAAGAGTGAACATTTTCGTTATTAGGGTTGATTATCACAACAGCGGGGGAGATTGATGCAAATGTGACCCATAGGATTAAGGCGGGATGGTGTAAGTGAAGAAGTGCGTCTGGAGTACTGTGCGATAAACGAATACGCACTAGACTAAAAGATAAGTTCTATAGAACGGCTATTAGACCGGTGATATTGTATGGGACGGAGTGTTGGGCAATCAAGAAACAACATGTAGATAAGATGAGTGTTACTGAGATGAGAATGCTAAGGTGGATGTGTGGTAAGACTAGATAAGACAGACTTAGAAATGAGTGTATTCGAGAATAGGTAGGAGTAGCATCGATAGAAGATAAGTTGAGAGAGAATCGATGAAGATGGTTTGGTCATATTCAACGGAGACCAATAGAGGCAGTAGTGAAGGAATGCGATGCTGTAACGGTAGATGAAAGTGTTAGGAGATGGGATAGGCCTAAATTAACGTTGGCTAGCATTGTAAATAGAGATATGGATTTACTTAATTTGACTAACGAAATAGCCTTTGATAGGGCAACGTGCAGAAGAAGGATTCATGTAGTCGACCCCATTTGATGGGACTTAAGGCTTGGTTTGATATATACATGTATAAAATAGTAAATTATGTTAAGTAAAGTGAATCTTACGGTGCACGATTTTATATGATTCATGATTCACTATTTTAGCAAAATGATTCATGATTTGATGGGCAATTTGACAACAATGTATATGACATAATAATAAATATTAAAAATCATATATTTTGTGCGTCCCTCACGTGTCGTGCATTGAATTTTTAAAAAATTGACGTGTCATTGTGTCCATGTTGTGTCACATGTATGATGTCTATATCCTTGCTTCTTAGATTGAGGCAAAAAAGTTCTATGGCCTTGTTTGGTTTGTGTTTCCCAAAAATTTTTAGGAAAAATTCTCTACAAATAAGTTTTCATAAGTAATCAAACCAAACAAATTTTCTCAAAAAAATTTCCCAAAACTTGTTTGGTTTATAAGTTTTCCAAACAAATCTCTCTCTCATACACATCAAATCAATCACTTTTTCCAAAACTCTCTCTCAAAATAATCTTCGAAAACATCTTTTGAAAAAAACCAAACTAAACAACTTTTCGTACTTTTTATCTCTAAAACTCATCTCCCAAACTCAAACCAAACATACTCTATGTTTCTTTTCTTTAATTGAATCATGGTGAGATGAATATGAGATCTATGAGCTGAAATCTTTACTACCATAATGAAAATGCGTCAAAGTTTTTGAGAAAATATACCACGGCTGTTCCTTCTTAGGATGCTACAAGCATTAAGAAATGCATGTTAATGCACTATAATAACATGGGGTGACAAAACTTTCTTATGTTGATTTGTTATTATGATAGCTAGTGCTGAGGTTGAAAGAGGTTTAGTGATGCATCTATACCAAAATGACTTCATTGAGAGTAATATTGTGTAAATGTTTTCTTGTTGGGAATGTAGAAGAAAAAAGGTGGGTTGTTTGTGCGAAGTATGCATTGATGGCGTGGCACATAAATCTTAATTAAATATGGAGTACAATGATGCCAATCCAAAAAAGAAAAAGAAAAAAGGAACTACAATGAGAGGAGTTGATGAAAGTTACCTTTACAAGTTCTACTTCTCATGAAAAATTATTGTGCCATTAACCTTATTGTCTAAGGAGAGTGATTGAACAAAGACTAAGGTGTAAGTTTAACTTGTGAACATAATATATATATACATGATATGATGAATATAGAACTTATCACCAAAGATGACTTCGAGCTTGTTTGGTTTGTTTTTGGGAAAAATTCTCTACAAACAAATTTTCAAGAGTAATCAAACCAAACAAATTTTTTCAAAAAAAATCTCAAAATTTTGTTTGGTTACCTACTTCCCAAAATCACTCTCTCTCTCATACACATTAAATCAATCATTTTTTTTAAAACTCTCTCCCCAAAACAATTTTTCAAAATCATATCTGAAAAAAGGCAAACCAAACAAGTTTTCGTATCTTTTATCTCAAAAACTATTCTACAAACACAAACCAAACAAGCCCTTCACTTTTTTGCCACAATTAAAGTACTTGAGTGTGTAGCTGATCATTGTTCTACAACACCACATTCAAATGTTTTTTTATTTTTTTTTGATAAATAAGCAAAACTTTATTGGAAATGCATCAAAACAATGCAAACGAATACAAAAATGACGCCCCTAAAAGGTCCAAAAATTAAGATGTCAAATCCTCAACAAGATCTACAAATGCCAAAACATCCGAATCAACTAAACCCAACTATACAAAACCATAAGGGGGCGACTCCAAAGCCAAGAAAATGAGTGAGCCACTCCCTTAACAACCTGCCTATTACGCTCCAACCAAATCAACCACAATAAACAATGGGGAGCAAGCATCCATGTCTTTCGACGCCTCCTCCCAACTCGACCCTCTGCCCAACTTTGCAAAACTGTGAACATAGAACCTGGCTGTACCCAATCCAAGCCAAAAGTTACAACAATAAGCATCCAAAGCCGAGAAGCAACCGGACAATGAATAAGCAAGTGGTCCGCCGATTCCGCATCCGTATCCGCACAACACAAACAACACCAATTAACTAGGATAGGCCCGCGCTGGATAAGATTATCAATAGTAAGAATATGACCAAGCATTGCCGTCCACACAAAGCAACCTTAAAAGGCACACCAACGTATTCAAATGTTGTGCTTCCTTTATTATCTAACAGTAATATCAGCAATTTCTAAATTAGAAACAATTAACTCTTGTATATAAAACCTTGCAGTGTGATGAGTAATTTTTATATGTGCATGTGAATTGTGTATTCAGATGCTTAGGTTTGAATAAAATTTTAGTTGGCAGCCTCATGCTTTCTTGCTCTAGATTAATTTGGAATTTTTTTTTGCTTATGTTAAGAAATTGTAATTTATGTGGATTAGCTATAAACTTTAGTACAATAGCTCTTTTGCATGGATCTACTAAAAGAGTTGAACAATTAGTTTCCTGCACAAGATTGTGATGAGCAGGAAGACATGGAAACTCTACAGCATGATAAGGATTCAAAATTATTATCAATATACCAATGTTTGAGCAATTCATAATCATATAGAATGGGGAAAGAAGAGGGAATTTTTGATATTTTATTTGTAGCATGCCTATGCTTTGTATAATCATGCCTAGCATCGAGTCTTATTTTTATATATTTCATGGGTTTGATGACTGTTGGACAGATTTTATGATTTTTATTAGATTTTAGGTGTTAAAAAGTATTTTTGTAATTTTGGAAATTGCAAAACATAAGATGTTGGGGCTGACCATGGTTCACCTTATGGGTCAAATTATATTATTAGATCATTATTTGTGATCTTATTTGGGTCTAGACTCTACAACAGTCTAATAGTCAAAGGGGTCAAATGCTCCTACACTTTTAATCCTAGTCGTAGTAGAATTAGACGAGACCTATGTTACATAGAACATGGATTGTTCCTGTACATGGAATGGGAACGGGAACGAGAACGGGAACATGGTACGCTACATGCTCTAAAATGTGATACGATAGGAGTAAACTTATATATATTACTCTTGAGAATTTAAGGTACTCTTCTAATATTTTTATTTTTTATTTTATTTTATTTTCATGTAGCAAATTATTTCTATGAAAATCGTTACCTATTTTTGATGTTTTTGACTTGTCAAAACTTAATTCACCTTAGATTTTAGTTCATCTATTTTATTTTTGTCTCCTAAGTAAGGTACATTTGTAATCTTCTTAGAGTGAAATTTTTGGGAATTTGTGTAAAGCTTTTGAAGTTGTGTGATGCTTTGTGCAACCTTACCTTAGGGGATAATTCCTAATGAGTTTTAAGCGGGATTCCTAGATTCTTCTTCTTACAAAATTACTATTGGCTTTTAATTTAACCGTTAAACCCCTAAAGTACATACTGTTTAAGTCCTTTGCATCCTTTGTTATGCAAATCCAGCAAATTTTCACTTTTGAAAATCGAACCAAATTTCACTTTTTCCATCTAGAAACCCTTGAAGATCTACAGGGCCCTAAACCTAGAAAATTTTTCATAAACGTGACCTGCCATGTTTTCTATTGTAGACAACTTATGCCCTAGGCATTGTAGCCTGGTTAAAAAAGTGCTTTTGTGGCTTTTGAAGGGTTGGGGATTGCATCATGGGTTTAAATTTTATTTCCTTTTAAGAAAAGGAATGGAAGCAGGCAATAGCAAGCTTCATTTTTCTATTGCATATCTGGCTTTCGGCTATGTTAAAGGCTCTTCTGGTCACAAACCTTGGCTTATCTCTGAGCTCCTCTTTAAGGCTAAGGTGGTGTGGCATGGAGGGGTCGAATGGTTTCAACGAAGGTTGGCTGGCTGGTATATGCTGGAAGGGGCACTGGACATGTCCAGGGGTCATTTGGATGCTTTAAGAGGATTGTACACCTTTCTACTTTTCTTTTTTTGGAAATGGAGGAATATTGTGGTCAATACTCAAATGTTTGAATCTATATATATTTCCTTGTGTTTCAAATGTTCGATGTAGTCCTTAGCCTTTTTGAATGCTAATGTAGTCTGAGTGATCAATACTCAATGGAGGTCATTGTCTGTACTATATTTGTTTAGTTGTCACTCCTGTCACTAGTACCTTATGTATGTTAATTTCTTTCTTGTGCATATTCAGTGGTATTGCCATAATTATCTGACTTATCATTTCTTAAATTTTTTTTTGTTCAAAATTTGCTCTGCATAATTGTTTGTTTCTTCAGGAACCTTTGGTCTGGTTGATTATACTAATTACGAGGACATGAAATATGCTGTAAGTTGCTGAGAGAATTCATTTTCTGCTTTTAGTTTCTTTGTTTTTTTTGCTTTCATTTTTTAATTTTGAAACTTTTTTTTTTTTGGTGCTTCAGTTAAGTAACTGATGTTTTTGTGTTACTCAGATTCGAAAACTTGATGACACTGAATTTAGAAATCCTTGGACGAGAACTTATATTCGGGTATTTTCACTTATTTGTTATTATATATTTAACCTTATTAGTTTTATTGACCGTATTATACTTAGACCCCAAATGTGTGTTTATGTAATTCAGGAGCAGCGTCCCTCGTAGCATTTGGGACACTGTTTTCATTTTTTTTCTGCTTATTCTTGAGTTTTGTGAAAGTTTTTGTAGTAGCATAATAATCTAGGACTCCCCTTCTCTCCAGTTTTGGTCTTCAATATGTTTACCCTAGATTCTATACAGAGAGGTGGTAGGGTTTGGGGATGGTAACAGATTGGATGCGGGATGAGGGATCCCTCACCCAACCTCGACCTGAGGACCAAAATCAATTCTTGCAATTCATCCCACCCCCATGACATGGTGAGGATAAAATTGCACATTCCCTATACCAGAAGGGGATGATGATATTGCATGAGGTTTCAATTTTTTAAAAAATATTTTGGCAATGCATGATATGGGCCTCATGGGGAGGTGTTAATATTTTGGTATTATGTATCATATGCGAGTCCCATTAGTCAAATTGCCATCCCTACATAGGATTATGATGATTTTCTTTGGGTAAATAACAAACACTACAACTGGTCAAAGTCCAAACCCACAAAGCTTCCTCCCAAAGGTTCTGGGTTAGGAACTAACGTAGATTTATGCATGAAAGCAATGATGTTGAGAGATTGGTTGGGAGGTGCTCTTTGAAAAGGTTGTCCTGTTCTTTGTTTGATATGTTTGTATGTAAATGGTTGTAGGTGAAGAAGTATGAGGACAGTCCGTCAAGGAGCCGAAGTAGGAGCCGCAGCAGAAGCAGAACTCCAAGGAGGAATAGGAGGTATAACTCATGTTAATTGTTTGTTTGCTTCATTTATAAGCTTTTCTGACAACTGAGAAATTGCTGATCTAAGTGCAGCAAATCACTGGACCGTTCTCTCTCCAGAACAGCATCAAAATCTAGATCCCCGTCTCCTGTGAAATCATCCAGGTATTTGGGTCTTAGTTGTATCATTCATCTTTGTGCTTTTTGTTTCTCTGAGTGCTATTTCTAACCTTCATTTTGCTTATTTTTGACCAAATTATGTAGACCAAGATCAAGGTCGAGGTCTGGATCTCCTCGCAAGGTAAGATCCCATAGATTAATTTTTTGGGGAAAAAGAAACAATTGTGCCTCATTCACATACTGCACGTGTACACACTGGTGTCATTAATAATATATTAAGCTCTCTGAATTAGATGATTTACCTGAGATTTTTTTTGGAAAAACGCATTAAGGAAATTTGGGGAACCATACTCTCAGCATTTACTGTTACTATTAATATTATTACAAAAATGCTAGAGGCACCAAAAATTCTACCAAAAGTTTTACCAAATGTCTCACATGGATGTGGGACCCACATGGGACCCACATTGTGTGGGTCCCACACCCATGTGAGACATTTGGTAAAACTTTTGGTAGAATATTTGGGGTCTCTAGCATTACTCATATTATTATATCACTATGATTATGTCTGAATGGAATGTCAGGGACTGATTGTTGAAACTTGATCTTGTTTCAGGCACGGTCAGGTAGTGGCTGACTTCTATACAACCGGAGTGGAACTTTTTGTAGCCTGCTTGGATGGGATAGTTCGGGAGCATGTTTTTTTTTTTTTTTTTAATGGCATCTGAGTAGACTAATTATTTGAAAATGTCATTTAAAAACCAATCCTAGGACTAGGTCTGGAAATATGTTCATTATCATGAAGTTTGTCAATCGACTGAATCTGAGCTTTATGTTTTGTATTGTCCTTAAGTTTGAGAAAAAAGCACTGTATGAAATTTTTATTTATTTATTTTATGAAAGACTCTGGATTGTAGAACTGATCAGCATAGAACATTGAGGTTTGCTTTTTCTGTCCAATGGAATTATGTGTGTTGATGTGTGGACTATTGAATATAGAAATTAGAGTATATAGATTTTTTATTTTTATTTTATATATTATGTATATAATCTATGATTTTGTCAATTACTGATTTAGTATTATTTTCTTATTTCTATCGTTTTTTAAATTATATCATGAATCTATTATTTATACATGGTATTTACCTCATTTACGAGTAAATTAAATAATTCTTTTCATTTTTTTTTGGTATTAGAGTTAGGTTAAGTATTTAGTAATTTTGCTTTATCGGCGGATGGCAGTTTTGCCTTGGCCGCTCGTTGGATCTCAACCCATACCATTGTTATATTTTCTTTCAATGTATGTCGTGGTGATCTCTTTCTCTATTTATAAGTTTATTCTTATTTCAAATCTCTATCATATTTTTTTTAACTCGCAATTCATTCTTTTTGGACTTGAAAGACTCCACAAATGTTAATGCAAGATTATATTCATTTTTCTTTTCCAAACTTTCTTCTTTGATCTTTCGTTATTTGGGTCTGTGTGACAATCCCTCAAATGAACTGGGGCTTAGGTTTTGTTTAGGTGAACAATAGCTCTGGTCGTTCCAGCGGATGAGTAGGAAAGGTTCACTGGCTGCATTTGTAAGATTGCTTTTGAATCTTAAATCTTGAATTTTTTATTTTTAGTTTGGATACATTAATGGAGCTGTGGCCTACGGAGAAGGAATATTGATTGTTGTAAGGCATGCACCTTTGATCTTTGAGGCTTAATATATTATGTCTAGTTATGATATTTATAGTTTTTGATTATGATTAATTGTGATATTAGTAATGATTTATTATAATTATTATTTTGTCACGATTTAAAAAGTTTTGGTTATATTTTATGTGGCGTCTAGTTATGATTGAATAATTTAGTTATGATAATTTTTATATGATATATTTTTTTGAGGATGTGAATTCTAAAATGACCCTTTTTTTTTTTTCCGAAAGCATTAGAAATATTATATTAATAAAATAACATTACATAAATAAGGTTCGTTTATTTATGCTAATACTAGTATACAATGGGGACTATTAGGTCAACAATTCAATTGTGTATTTAACAAAAAAGATGAAATAAGATTGGAGGATATCAAATTGCATCCATGATTCAATAATCTTGGATCATACTTACTTTTTTTTTTTTTTGGTTTGTTTATATGATACTCCTCTAAACCAAGAGGCTAAAGGAAGTGCTAGTTGTCGATGATATTACTAGTGAACACAATGTTATTGTAATGGATTTTAACACTAATGTATATTTTTAATGCAATGTTGATAATTAATTTAATGGTAAGATAAAATAGTAGAAATAAATAATTATCATAACGTTATTTTTTTACCGTTATTGACTATGAGGATGTGATATTTTTTTGTAATGTGTTTCCGGCCACACACCGCCGGGTAGCTCACCGTTATTTGCTCGCAGGTGATCGGATATCGACGGAGCTCGGAAGAAAGGAATACGGGCACGCCGGAATATTTGCTCCCCGTACAATATATATTTATAGAATTTATAATGACAGATCCCACAAAAATGTGAAGAAGTACATTATTGTAATATAACTCTTTTCACATAGACAGTAGTACTATTTAATTATATAATTTTTCATCTAACCTTTTTTTTTCCTTTTAAATTCACTTTATTTTTTTATTTTTTATTTATTTTTATTTTTTGATACACAAAAACTGTGACCGAAAGTGTGAAGGGAGAACGATTGGAATCTTTGATATCCTGGTATAGGATTTTTGGTAATTATTTAGTAGTTTTGGAATTAAGATGAACGATTGGAATCTTTGATATCCAAATGTGGTATAGGATTTTTGGTAATTATTTAGTAGTTTTGGAATTAAGATTTTAAATATTGATTGTTATGTATCAGGATATTAATCTTTTAATATTATTATTCAGTTGTTATTAATTGATATATGATTAGTGGTGGAGTCAGAAAATTAAATTAGAGGATGCACTTATTAATTACGATATTGAAAATTTTTACATAAAAAAAGAATGTTATTTGTAACTAGTATATCATGTACAATACAAAAAAAAAAAAAAGAATATAAGTCTTAAAATAAATTATATAATGATAAATTATTTTTTTATACAAAATTTGATTAAAAATTCAATACAATGGTAATACCACGTCATCATTGGTATGTGATATCACTCATTGATTAAGGCCGAAATGTACATTATTGAGGCCGTTAATTAGAATCTCTTAACGTCACTTGCTGGTCAAACTGTATATTTTATGTGCGTTGAGTGTCAATCAGGTTGTACATCGTTGGAGCATAAAATGAGCAAAAAGACAGAATTTGGGCAGAGTTGACTTTTCCGCACGTACGTTAACTTTTTCCGCACGTGCGTTGACTTTCCCGCATGTGCGTTGACTTTTTCTGGGAAAGTCAAACCGACGTTTTAAACCTGTTTGGACGAGATTGGAAGCATAAAAAGGCAAGTAAAAGGCTGGATTAGGGTTCTTGACTTTCTGTGATTGTTGAATATTATCCATACATGAGTTTTCTATTCCTTCACATTCAAGGTATGGGACGAACCATGCTACGAGGAACGAGTCGTATCACCACCCTAGTTTAGAGTGAACGATTCATATTACTTGAGATGGTTCGTGCTCGTACATTGAATGTGATGATCTTCTTATTAAATGCTTTGAGCTTGTAGTTGCGAAGCATTAATTCGTTCAAACCATAGCATAATTAATTTCAATTGGAAACCCTAATTATGTAGTTAGTGGTGAATTCTCTACCCTAGGATTTTTCCCCAATTAAGTAAACCTAAATTCAATTGTTCTTGATAATTTAATTCATTAGTTTAATTTATTCGTTATTAAATTAGGTTATAAACAACCAATCTTTTTATCAAAATTAATTTAGGAATTTGACAATTAAATTAGTTTAATTTCACAATAGTCCCTGTGGATCGATACCTGAACTTGCCATTATTCTGATAGAATTTGGTATAGTTTAGTATTTAAATTTGGTGTGTTCAATGACCCATCACTCACTAATAGTAAATAAACACATAGACAGTGAACTTCACATGTCAAATGTAACTAACAATTTAATAAATTTCATATATTTATAATAAAATTACTTATACTTGAATGTCATTAATAATAAGAACCCAAGAGACACGTGACCCCCTGATCCCTCACTTCTTCTGCCATTATATATGATTGCCAATATCAATACATATTTTGATATTATTATTTAAAACAACATTACTTATGTGGTGCTGAAATTAATTAGATAGTAAAATTTTTTATTAATGAGACATATTGTGTCACCTTTGTTGAGAAGTGGAGAAATAAATTATGATTCGTTTGAGGTGCAATTTTTTTTTTATATTTATGTTAATAATAACACACAATATTCTAAAATATTTAATATTTTTTTAAATAAAATTCTAACCAATTCGAATAGCTACTACCACCGTAAGTCGGTTTGATAGGCTGGCCTTAACATCGTCTGGGCTTTCTAATTGTAAGACCGGCCCAAGATAATATTGGGCTTATAATCATCTTAATTGGCAACAAACCCTTGACATAGCCCATTATATACTTGGTGCCCTAGGTCATTGATTCCTATATATATATAAAATATATATAGCCTCTCCACGGCTTCAGTTCGTTCTCATTTGCCCTAGCACACAGAGGCGACGCCTCGCTACACTATCAGGTTCTCGATTTTCGCTATTGCGTGGTTTCGATTATCTATTAATATCAAATTTATCTATTCATTGATTTCGAATTGATGAATATCGATTTTCTGTAGATTTGCAAACTAGTTTTCAATTATCTCTTCCGCGAAAGATGGCTCTGAGCGATCTCGCTTGCACCTACGCTGCTCTCATCCTCCACGACGATGGCATCCCCGTCACTGTAATCGTCTTCTCTCTCGTATTCTGTTTCAGTTGTTTTTTGTTTTGAAATCTGTATCATCTTATTGTAATAGATGTGTTTATTGTATGTTTTTGATTACGTTTCAGGCAGAGAAGATTGCGACATTGGTTAAGGCTGCGAACGTGCCTATAGAATCCTACTGGCCAGGCCTCTTTGCCAAGCTTTTTGAGAAGAGGAACATTGATGACCTCATCATGAACGTTGGATCTGGTGGAGGTGGTGCCGCCGCGGCCTTTTCCGCTCCCGCTGCTGGCGGTGGTGCCGCTGCCGCCCCTGCTGCCGCTGCTGCTGTTGAGGAGAAGAAGGTATATAGATTTGTTTGAAAAGTTGTATAAATTGTGAATGGTGAGTGATTTAATGGAGGATTTTAATTTGTTTTTGCAGGAAGAACCGAAGGAAGAGAGTGATGACGATATGGGATTCTCTTTGTTTGATTAGGAGCTACGTTCAGTGTGTTTTGGTATTCCTCTAGATGATTAAGAACTATTGAGATTTTTGTTTTTTCTTTTCTGCAATTATGATAGTTGTCTGAAGATTTTTTATTTCGAAACATCTGATTTTTGTTATGTGGGGTTTGTGTTCTAAGTAGTATTCTTTACAAAACATGTTATCGGGTGATAATTTTTAATTTTTGTTAGTCTTCTCAAGCCCTTACTCAAATTTTTAGAGTAAAAGCTTTATTTGATATGAAGTACTCAGGGCATCTCCAAACCTTGCATAAACCTATATTGAATTTAAATTTAATATTGACTGAAAATTACTCAAAGCACCCTCCACTGCTTGACCCAAACTTGCATCAAATTGCATTTTACTCTAACTTTACCCAAATCAACAGAGATTGAAATGTTTACTCAAAATTTTTAATTCCATTGTGGTTCTTGAATTTAATACCTGGCCATTGGCGAAACTTTTGCTTAAAATTATGCTTAAATATGAGTTTTGGAGTGGTTCATATCAAATAAAGCCTTTATATGAGTGTTTTACTCAAATTTGAGTAAGATTTACACTATGTTTGGAACCTAGAACAGAACAGAAAAGAAAAGAAAAGAAAAGCAATGATTACTTAAGTAAAAGAGAAAAGAAAAGAAAAGAAATGATTGTGATTTCTCTTCTTTTTGTTGTTTGGGTATGGAAGAAATAAAAGAAACGAAATGATTGTGATTTCTCTCATTCTTGTTTGGTTAGATATCATTAAGAGAAAAGAAAAGAAAAGAAATTATTTTATGTTATATTACCAAAATAACTTTTTTATATTTTCAATCATTTTATTTTTTTTATTTTTATAGGGATAAAATTGGTATTATAAAAATAGTGATTTTTTTTTCTCTTTCAATCTCTCTACTTTTGAGAAGATTGAAAATGAGACTTATAAAAGAAATGAGTTTCTCTCCATTTCTTCTCATTTCTCTCTACGTAGGTTATCCAAACAAATAAGAGAAATGCATATCACTTCATTTCTTTTTTTTTTTTTTCTCTCCAAATCACTCAATCCAAACATAGCGTTAGAGTAAGGATTGAGATATAGACTTAAATTTGAATAAAAGCTTCATTAATGGAGTGTAAATTTGAAAGCTACAAATTGCTCTTAAAAAGCATATGTAGACGTTTGGGAGACTCAGAGATGGGTAAAACTCAATGGAAAATGTTTGGTAGCTCAAAATTTTGTGGTTCAAATGGCTCAAATCTGTCAAAACGACGTCGTTTTACACTCAAAATCTGTCAAAACGATGTCGTTTTGACAGATTTGAGCCATTTGAGCCACAAAATTTTGAGCTACCTAGCGTTGTCGAAACTTAATTTGAGTGATTTTTGAGTTGGTTTTTATCCCAATTTAAATACTACATATATGTTCGAGTCTTGAGGGTTGGTTGGTGATGCCTTTACATTCTTTGCTCGTGTTTTGCATATGGTTTTAGCCTTTTATGCTTTATGGACGGGACATTGTTTTTCTTTTATTGTTACTAGCATTTTGTGAAATAGGTTTTAGCCTAGAAAATTAGACTCGTTGAAGTACCTTATAAAAGTTAGGTTTACTGGAGAAAGTTCTCGCTCGGCAAGTAACTTGGCAGAAGAAACATTTTTCAAATTTTAGGAAGTTTGTCAAGAAAAGCCCTTGAATGGAATTTGAAATACCTAATTGCATGTCGTACTCAAAATGCCATGAACCCCCTAGGCTTTCAGTCTTGCCGGATTATTTAAAGATCGGTAAATTGATCTCTTTTATTGGCCAATGGTGTGGAATAATTAATTTCCTCGAGCATTTGTGCTTGCTGAAGAACTTTGTTCTTGTTTCGTAAAAATACAGTTTCACACAAAATTCTCAAGTTAATGAGCGGAAAATTGCTTTGGCGCGATTTTGGTGTCTGATTTTCCCCAGCATCGATAGAGCCCCTCTCCAATCACCACCCTACACACACACGTGGCGAGTGGTGATTGGAGGAGAAGGAAAAAAAAAAGAAAAGAAAAAAAAAGAAAAGAAAAATTGGCCAATGGGAAAAAAAGAGGGTCAAAGGGGTGGAAGGAAAAGAAGATTTGAAATATTTTTCATTTTCCCTTATCATATAGAGTTAAACAAAGTGAATTGGTTGACTCATATGGAGATTGGTGGGTCATCAGCCTAGTGTTCACGGACTAGCTTGTGTCTGGCTAGGCTCGAGCTTGAGGATTGGCCATTCCTGCCCGACCCTAAAATATATTGAAAATGGTCTTGGTCCGATGGGTGTGCGTATGTGTCGGCCTATTAGCTCAATTTTGTGGGCTTTGTGAATCCTGACCCAAAATTCAGCTTGTAGGCCAATTCGAAAGCTACTCTATTGGATACTAATCATTTTGTTTGATTTTAGTTTTCAGAATTTACTTTATAAAACATTTTACTTTTTCATTTTTTGTATTCTTTTTTTACTGATTTTTTTAATATTTTAAATATTTTTTTTAAAAAATTTTTAGACACCGAACATAAATATACTTAATATTTGTGATTTTTTTTATAAAAAAAAATTAACTAAATATCAAAAATATAAAAAAATAAAAAAATAAAAAAACAATATATTTTTTATTTTTATTTTTATTTTTATGAATTTATTAGAGATTATTTCATTTTTGTCTCTATACTTTGTCATGATTTTTAATGACCGTTCACATTATTATTTTCATGTGTACCCCTATACTATTTAAGTTAGAGGTGAGCAGCGAATATACCGATCTACCAAAACCGATCGAACCGAATCGATCCGTTGCATTTTGGACGGATGCGTGATGATGAGCGGACAGTTGCGGATTGATTTTCTCCAATCCGCCAATCTGCTGGACGGATGGCGGATTTGAGATTCCTTTGGCCACAACCGAACTGCCAAATCACGAGCACCCCTAGTAATTTATAAGATTTTGTATTTTCAGTTTGTTTAAAAATTTTGTTTGTGTTTTCAATTAAAAAAGAGTTTAAATATTTTGTTGAAAAAAAGTTTTCAACTTGAATATCTTTTTTGAATTGAAAAAAATAAACGTATTATTTGTCTATATTTTTTGGTTTTTAAATCTATCTCTAAAAATAATAAATAGAAGATATGATATATGCTGGTTGGTTTTTGTTTTAAAAAACAGATATAGATGTAACAATACAGAGACATACAATCTCTGCTTTGTTCATAGTTTTGGTGGTTTGAATTGTTTTTATATTTTAAGAACCATAGATTGTAATATTTTATGTAGATGAGGTATACTGTGATTGTAGTATGTGGATGAAACATGCAGTGATTATGATATTTTAAAGTTTCAAACTTTTTTGCTTTGGATGAGGCATGCAGTGATTGTAATATTTTTTTAAGTCATTGACTGTAATACTTTCTTTTTCTTTTTTTGAGGAAGTGCACAAGTTGAATTATGTTGAAAATTTATAAAATATTAAACCGACAAACCGATTCGCATCTATTCGTCAAACTGCCAATCCGCTCAATCCACATCCGCCGAATTGGCAGACGGATGCGGATTGATTTTCTATAATCCGTTTTAGGTGGTAACGGAACTGGTGAAGAAGGTGTGCGGCAAATCCTTCTTCACGGTATCTGCATCATCTACGAGCACGAGATGACCTTCAAAATCATTTCCCTAGAATGTGGAACATGGTTCTAGATGGTAATGGAACTAGTGAAGAAGGTGTGCGGCAAATCCTTCTTCACGGTCTTTGCATCATCTGCGAGCACGAGATGACCTTCAGAATCATTTCCCTAGAAGAACGGAACACTCCCATCGGCATCTTGTTTTCCATAAACGAAACAATATGTGCACAAAGGGCAATGCCAGATTCACTAAAGTTCAGGAAAAAAAAAAATCAATGCTAGACTGAAACATTCACTTATAGCGGCTATAAAAGTGGTTTTTGAAGAGTCGTCATAGAGAATAAATGAACTACCCATGAAGATCTCTAACTACCTGATTTGCAGGGTATGAGCCTCTGTCTCTCAAAGTTTTGTAAGCTTCTATAACAATGATCACTTCATTTGCTGTCTTGTTTAGTCCGTATTGTTGCTTAAAATGAGCAACATTCTCAATATGGCCTTGAAACAAGCAGAATATGTCATCCATGACAGGGAACAATCTTTCAGAGGAGGTTGATGAAGTGAGAAACTAATTAAAAGAACTTGTAATATCTAAAGCTTTTAATTAAAGTAATTCATGAAAAAAGATTTTTTTTTTTTTAATATTGACAACAGAGAGAGGTGCCATTTATGAACCAAATTTGCAAGGTAAAAGAATGGGACAATTTAGCAGTTCAACGTAAACAGAAGAATTCCATGTATTCCATAGCAATTAAAGGAAAACCAAAATCACTCTATAAAAAACTGAAACTAATAGAACAGAAATCAAAGCAATTGAACTCAATATTGGCATGAATGTTAGCAACCATATTATTTGTATTACCCCAACACATATTTGCTTATATATGCATCTTCCTTATCACCAGTTCCATTATCACCTAGAGTCATGTTCCACATCATGCTATAAGTGAAGAAGAAGAAGAATAATGAAGAAGATCGAGAAGAAAGAAACAAAAGATGAATGTTTTGAAAATTTCGAAATTAATTTTCGGACAACTTTTGGCATATCAAAACTGCCCATTAAATGAAGAAGTGAGAAAGCAAGGTAGTATAGGGCGAAGTAGGAAGTGAGGTAAAGAGAATGGCGACAGAATGAAATAGAATCGTCAAGAATCGAGAAAGATATGAAATCCGAAAGATGACTTGAAGAAAAGTGAAAAACGAGAAGAAAAGTCTTATTTTTTTTTATTAACTTTTGGAAGGGGAAGAACGATACGTGTGAGATGTGATACGAAAACTACACTGTAAGTTAAATCCAACGATGTAAAAATGAGGCGAAATGGAGTTATAACAAAAAATATAGAAGGGCTTGAAATGGTGGTTACTAGTGATGGTTTGCTGGTAAAAAAGGGTGAGTCTGCATTTTTCTTTTGAAATTTGGGGCCAAAATATAATTTTTTTTAACTTTTTCCATTTCAAATCTGACGGCAGGGGCAAAATTGATAGTAACTTAAGTAATATAGGGGTGCACGTGAAAATAAGAGTAGTCTAGGGGGTTATTGAAAGTCGTGACAAAGTATAGGGATAAAAATGAAATAATCTCTAT